GCTGAGGGGGAGGGGAGGAGAGGAGAGGGAAGGAAGGGAAGGGGAAAAAAAAAGAAAAAGAAAAGAAAAGAAAAGGAGAGGAGAGGAGAGGAAGAGGAGAGCAGAGCACAGAAGAGCCTAGATTCCCAAGTCACAGGCCAGTCTTTTCTAGACCAGCACAGGTGAGACCAAACTTCCACTAAGCTAGCCACTGTTACCCTCACCAATGAAGCAGGACTTTGGTCTTTACAATCTGAGCATATCACACAGCAGATGCACACACGGCATACCTTCAAAAAAGGAACTGTGTCAATTAAAGACAGTGGGAATGATGTATAGGCAGAAATAGCAGATACCACAGGGACCTGGCTACGGGGAAGGCTGGAAAGGGAACAGAGTCTTTTAACAGACGGTGATTCTTTGTCATTAGCTGAGAAGGACAGAAAAGCAGGAACATGCTGGGGTCAGGAGGAGTCCACCAGGCCTGTCACTGTTAATGTCCACTCACCTGTGTGAGAGCTGTGACCTTATTCCCCATGTCTGGGAGAATGGGGCGCTCATCACCCACTTGGAGGTCAAAGTAGACGGTCTTGTGAGAAAACGTAGAAAACTCGTTACTGAAGCAAAACTGATAAACACCCTTGACCTCAGTTTGGTATGTGAAGCTGTCATACTGCTTCTTGGTCTCCCTGTAGATGATGTTTCCTACGGGGTCCTCCACATAGCAGTCCACATCGTAGTGACCTCCAGTGATGACCTGACAACCACAGAATGTGTGCTGTTACAGAGGGGAACCAATGCATATGAAATGCTGACTGACCACTCTACACAATTCTGTAATTTAAACTTTGCCACTGTCCAACACAGGTGCTATGGACCTTCTGATTTTGCTGAGCCTGAGCAAGGTTTAATATATTGGCCATGGCCACTTTATTCACTCCTGTTACTGTGACAAGATACCTGACAAAAGCCAGCTAAGGAAGGATGGTTTATCTTGAGGGTACAGTCCATCATGGAGCAGACGTGGCATATGGAGCATGAGGTAGGTGGTCACAGGTCACATGGCATCCACGGTCAAGAAGTAGACAGAGATGAATGCTGGAGCTCAGCTGGTTTTCTCCTTTTTATTCAGTCTCAGACCCCAACCCATGGAACGGTGCCACCCACAGTTAGGGTGGATCTTAAGTCATGTCGCTTAACCTCATCCAGGAATTCCCTCACAGACATGCCCAGAGGCTTGTCTCTTTGGTGATTCTAGATTCTGTCAAGTTGACAATATTAACCATCACAGCCACTCTGTAAAGTGCCAGGGTTATTTGAATTCATGTCTGCCTCACCCCAAAAATTCTGCTGCAAAGAAGTACAATGAGGCTAATTCTTCCCATTTTACAGAAGGGTAAAGTAAGGCAGCAGAGTAAAATAATCACTAAGGTTACCCAAGAGAAAATGAAGAGCTGGGATTTGACCTGAGGGTTACCAACTACCATCGCTAAAACATTTAGCCACTACCTTTTTGAACAACATAAATGAACAGGACTTTAAAAGTCAGTAGGCAAAGGAAGTGGGGGATACCCAGGACATGGTCCCAAGACAACTGGATGCCACCACTTTTGGATAAAGAAAGGATAAGGAATCTTTGTTCAGTTCTCAATACAAAACACAGAACAAGTAAGTTCTTTAGGGCACTGCCACTATTAGCTGTGCAACCTGGGCAAGTTCCTCTGTGGGAACACATCTCCATCTCTGAAAGGGGGCTGATACTAGCACTGATTAAATAAAAGTTATGGTGAGCATAGACTATCACATCCAAAGTGTTTAACACAGTATCTGACACAAAGTATGTGCCCATCAAGTGTCAGCCAATTACTGGACAGCCCACAGCCTGCACACCGGCCCTCTGAAGGTGACAGTGGAGGGGTGGGATGTGACCTGAAGCCACCGGAGACAAGAATAGGTGGAAGTGGGGCTGGAGAGATGGCTCAGCAGTTAAGAGCACTGACTGTTCTTGCAGAGGACCCAGCACTCACATGGTGGCTAACAATCATCCGTAACTCCAGTTCCAGGGGAATCTGATGCCTTCTTCTGACCTCCATGAGCACTGCACAATGCGGGTCCAATTACACACATGCAGGCAATACACTCATTCACATAAAATAAAAATAATAAATAAAATATTTTTTAAAAAGAATAGGTGGCCGGACATGGTGGCGCACGCTTGTAGTCCCAGCACTTGGGAGGCAGAGGCTGGTGGATCTCTGTGAGTTCAAAGGCCAGCCTGGGCTACATAGTGAGTTGTCCAGGACAGGGGGCTACAGGGAGACCCTGCTTCAAAAAGACCAAAAAAAAAAAAGAATAGGTAATGCAGATACTCATTGATGTCGCATATAATCAGTTGAGTATTGGGGATGGGGAAATGGCTCAGTGCTTAATGTGCTTGCTATACAAGCATGAGGACCTGATTTCAAATCCCTAGCCATCTGTATTTTTTTTAAAAAGCTAGATGTGGCAGCACGTATCTGTAACTCCAGCCCTTGGGGGGTTGGGAGGCAGATCCCAGAGCTCACTGGCCAGCTACTCTAGCCAATCCTGTAGCTCCAAATTCAGTAAGAAACCCTGTCTCAAGGATAAGGGGAAGAGCAATAGAGGAAGACACAGGCCTTTGGCCTTCATATATACATGTACAGGTGTGAGCATTCACCCACACATGCATTCACTACATTCAAAAAATAAAATAAAAATAAGAGACCACAGAAGTCATTTACTTCAAATTTTCCCTATAAACACAAGAAAGTCAAGATCTGCAGAAAGCAGAGTCAACTGCTATGACCAAGTCCATCAAAGAACACAGTTAGTGGCCTCCACCTGCTTCCGAACTTCAAATGCTCTTTGCCCAGATTTAAGGTATCAGGCCTACTCAACAAGCCTTGGGTGGACCAGAGTGCTTGCTGGACACCCACTGACCCTGGCAGTGTGCCCAGATGACTTCTGGAGCCTCTCCAGTCACATCATTAATCGCTTCTGTTATCGTACTGATACTACCTGTGATGATGCAGGCACATGCACACTTTGCATGCTGTCCACACATGTGAGAGAGGTCTCATCAGTGACTCTATCATGCTCAAGTTGTCTCCAAGCAGAAGAACCTCTAAAGACAGAAGGGCCGCTCAGTGTGTCCCACTCCTGCCGCCCATGCCACCCCATGTCTAGAAGGCCTGCCCCTGAGTGCCCACTCAGCCCATCAACCCGAGGTCTGCTCAGTAACCCTTGGGTATAAGACCCTTCATCCAAGCAACTAAACTGGAATCTGTCCATTGAGCCAGAAATGCAGAGCTGGCTTTGCTGAGCCATATGGCAAGGGGAAAGCCTCACAGCCACACTATGGTGCTTTCCTTGTGAACCGCGCCAGGGCTCAAAGTCTGGACGGCTCCTCCTCTCCAAAGCCCCCTCACCACCCCTGCTGCTCACCCCAAGGGCAACTTTAAAGGCTGGTGGCAGTTTCAGCACCTTGCGCAGGAACAAGGCAGTCCAAGAGAGACTTGGGACAAACTACTAATATTGGCGTTCATTAGAGCTGAAGGGACCTGGGAAGGTCATCCTGGTCAACTCTACAGGACGCGGGGACCCCATCTGTCCTTCAGCCACCCCAGCTCGTCTCAGGTGGGCTCTGACCGATGTAAACATTCTTTCTCAAGGGGAATTCAACCGTCTCCGGTGATTTCCACCCCCGGCCGCCTCCTTGGTTTAATTCCGCCACACTGGAGGGCGGCGCACAGGTCCCTGGGTGGGACGCGCCGGTGCCCGCCCGGCCGCACCTGGTAATCCAGGGAGAACTTCACGCCCTGTTCCACCTCCTCATGGAAGCACTGCTTGGCGTTGTCCGGCAGCTCGAAGGTGAACTCGACGCCGCGCACTCGCTCCGCACGGAGCAGGAGCAGCAGCAGCAGCAGCAGCAGCAGCGGGAAGGATGCGGAGCGCCGGGCCTCGCTGCCCATGATGCTCTCGGTCGGGAAGGTGGGCAGCGGCTGCGACGCTGCGGCCGCGGGAACCTGGGAGGGACCGCCCGCAGAGACGTGGCGCGAGCTGTGCACCGCGTTTCCGGGACGCCAGGGGACCCAGTGCGCAGCCGCGCGCCCGAAGGCCTGGGCCCTTTCCGCCCGGTGCGCCTGCGCCGCGCTGGGCTGGGGACCGGGACCTGCTGCTGAGACGCTGGAGACGTGTCGGGGCGGAAGTGTCCAGCCCCTCTTTGCACCCCCTCTCCGCCCACCGCGCGCTCCCGCAGTCCCGTTCCCGATTCCCACTCTGCTTCTGACTTAGTCCCTTCTCTCCCGGGAAATCCTTCTTGTAGGGAAACAGATGCGCCAGTGGCGAACGGTCTCTGGGAACGCAGTGAACACTCCTCTCTATTTGCGTCCCTTTTCCAAGGTGAAAAAGTGTTCACCCGGTGGCGGCTAGGGCTGGAGAATTAATTCAGTCCCGTGGCTACACCTGCTCTGGTGAAACAGGTGCGCTCACACTCAGTGCCCTTCTGAAAATGAAGAGTCTCTCAACGATTTCAGTTATGTTTTGGCTTTCAGGGTTGATTGAAAATTCTTTGGGGGAGAAACTGTCACACAATTTCTCCAAAACGTTGAAAAGAGTAAATTGATTGTTTTATCCATGCTCCTGACCTAAGGGGGTTTTAAAAATGAATTATAATTAGAGTCTTACAGGATTTTATATTCGCTATAATCCCATAAACAAAGAGAAAAGATATTTTTTTGATATTTACTAAATAAAATTTTATTTCAGTAGAACATTATTAGTTATGGGGAATCTGGAGTTGCGCATAGAATTTTACTTCCCATATATACCTCCACATGCATAAGATTAATGTACATTGCCACTGGCCAAGTTTGACCCTGTATTAAGTAGCTAATGTATGTGAAAGCGATCTGTAGGCTGTGAAGTAACATCACCCATAATACAGTTATTAATATGTGTGGCTCTGTATCAGACTTGGAAGAGATGTTTAGTAGTGTGCCTCAGAGCTTCCTTCCTTAAACATTTTTAATGAAGACGGATCAAAGACATGAAAGTTATAACGATGTATTAAGTAAAGAAAATGAAAAAAAAAGAGATGGCCAGTAGAAGTTCACTCAAGTTAAATATTAAGTGCTGCATTTAAGTTTCAAGAAAAGACCTGTGTAAGTTCAGAGTAAGGAAGCATAATTTCACAGCTGCTTACATGAGTGCAGGCAGCATTATAACGGACAGCAAACTGAATGTAAGAGAAACGCCTGGATTTTTAAGTCAATTATTTCCTTAGACAATTGTCAGGTGCCATCTATTTTGTACTATTTGAGGAGAAGTATTAACAAAACAGAGGATTGCGTCAAAGAAAGGTAATTAGGAGAAGAGCAGCATAAATATGGCCAAGAAACTGCCTCACATAAAGGAAAGTCAAAGGACCTAGGATTTAACCTGGAAAGTTAAAAACCAACAGCAAGCCGGCTGTGGTGGTGCATGCCTTTAATCCCAGCACTCGCGAGGCAGAGGCAGGCGGGCCTTGTTTACATAGTGAGTTCCAGGACAGCTGGGGCTACAGGGAGACCCTGTCTCAAAAAGACCAAAAAAAAACAGTGAATGTTAGTTTTAAAAGTTTATGTACCAGCAATCCTAACAGCTTTCACTTATTTAGCCCTAACAATGTACCTGTCACAGTGTCACCTACTTGTACATTTCACATAGTTTATATTAATGCTCACTAGCACCATGTCTTAAAATGTATTTTTCCTATTTGACAAAGAGGAAACAAGCGCAGGATGTTTAGTTCAGTAACATTTGTCTGTATGTTAGTGCCTCAAACCAGCAGTGATTTATCATTCCCATGACTTTGTGGGTCAGCAGGGTAGTTCAGCTTCAGGTGGTCTTTCCTAGAATTACCCATGAAGCTGCATTCAGCTAGAGTTCACCCATTTGCATGTCTTTTGGCAGATGCAGGCTTTTCCTGGAGCATCCCATTTCTCTTCCAAGCATCCTCTCACTGCTTGTTAGGTAGACTACTTCCTTCTGTGGCAGACTCAAGGCAACGTTCTAAAAAGATCAAAGCAAAACCTACAAGGTTCCCTAAGAGCTAGGCTCCTGAACTCTCCCAACATTGCTTTCTATACATTTTGTTGGCCACAGCAAGTCCTAAAGCTGACCTAAATATGAGAGGGAGAAATGGACTCTACCTCTGAATGTTGGGAGTTGCCAAGTCTCATTGTGAAGGTAGAGCCTGCTGGGGTGAGAATTTGTGACAGTTAAACAATCTGGTACAGTACTCATACTTCATCAGTGGCTGAGCCGGAGGTTGAACCCATACCTGCCCAGTCCTGAAGGTGGTGTGCTTTCTGCCAAGCACACTGCTGCTAGCCACTCCTCAGGGCTCACTTTTTCTGCATGAATAACCATGCAATGAAGATGTGGAGGTGATTCATTAAGAGTGCATTTGGGAACCTCTAAAATGCCTTCTAGGGCTGAAGAGATGGCTCAGCAGTTAAGAGCATTGGCTGTCCTTACAGAGGACCCAGGTTCCGTTCCCAGCACCCATATGGCAGCTAACAACTGTCGGTAATGCCAGTTCCAGGGGACCTGGGGCCCTCTTCTGACCTCCACAGGCATTGCAGGACACAGATGCACTTAACATGCAGGCATAACACATAAAAAATAAGATTTAAAATGCCTTCTAAACTTTATATTCTATGATATATGGTAGAAAGTACTAAAATTAAGAAAATCTGAATGAAATTAAAACAGTACCTGTCTGCCTTGGTCCTAGGGTGACTTCTGAAGAACACTTTTTAAAAAATGATAATCTTCACAGATACAGAAGCATGTGACAAAATTCAACACTTGTTCATGGTATAAACTCTTAGTGAACCAAAAAATAAGAAATAACTTCCTTAATATCATTAAAATGCCTATTAAAAATTGGAGCAAACTTCATTTGTGAGAGACATTAAAATCTTTCACTTTGGGGCTGGAGAGACAGCTCTGTGGGTATGAGTGCTTGTGCCCAAGCATGAAGACCTGCTTTTGGATCCCAACACCCACATTAAAAAGCTGGGCATGGTCATGCACATGCCTGAAACCCCCGCACTGTGGAGGGTAGAGACAGGAGGATCTGTGGGGCTTGCTGGCTGCCAGCTCAGCTCCAGCTTCAGTGAGAGACCCTGTCTCAGAGGACAGGACATCAGATATCCTCCTCTGCTCTCTACCAACCACACAGAAGCACACACACCCTCAACACAGTGTGGGCCTCTGCCACCTACGTATGCACATACAGCATAAACACAGGCACAGCTCACACATAGTCTTTCCCTTTGAACTTGGGGCTACAGCAGAAATTCCTGCTACCACAGTTGGGACTCACATTGAATTCTAGGCAGAAAGGAAAGATAAGGGAAAGAAATTATAGTAGAGTACATGCTAGAGAGAAACAAGTCAGAACTGTGCTACCTCTAAGCCAGAGGAGGCAGAGATTTAAAGACGGCACTGAAGGAGACTCGTGTTTCACACTGGGATTTGGTGTTGGTGTTGAATCACACATTTATGTTCTATAACTTATCTGTGCATCTCAGGGCCATAAGAGGTTTAAAGTGGATAAGTATACTATAGTGACACAGGTATTATGAGATGGTGCGATCTGTGCCCTGAAGCACAACCAAATATCCTTATCCTAAGTAACAGGACTCTCCAATATACAACTAGGACTTTGACACAGAATCTGCATTTATCCACTTGGGCACTAGATGGTGAAGAAGTAGGGATGGAACTGGAAAATAATATATTAAGTAATCCAGGCTCCAATGTTGTCTCTCATATGCAGATCCTAGTTTTTCATTTTTACATACGTGTATTTATGTAGGAGTGAATGTGGGCAGAGGCCAGGAAATTAGAAAGAGGCCTATGAGAGGGGTGGGAGGAGGAAAGAGGCCATGAGAGGGGTGGGAGGAGGAAAGAGGCCATGAGGGGGTGGGAGGAGGAAAGAGGCCATGAGAGGGTGGGAGGAGGAAAGAGGCCATGAGAGGGTGGGAGGAGGAAAGAGGCCATGAGAGGGTGGGAGGAGGCTTCGGGTCGGGGGAGGAAATAGAGCTCTCCTGATATGAAAATGGAAGGAGAGTACTGGAGTTGAAATGGTTTAAGGAGGGATAAGCGTAGGGAGACGTGGGGAGGGAAGGCAGGGGAAACGTCAATTAATACTAAGTATTATGAAAATGCCATAAGAAAACTTGCAATTTCATAGGCTATTTCAAATTGACTAAAGCAAATGTAAAACGTATCAGTCATTTAGCGTTACCATTAAACTGTAAGCAATACCAGCCTTTCCCTGGACAAACGAGAGAACGTAGAGGTGATAACAGAGTGTAACGGTGCCAACACTGCCCTCCTGGGACTTACCAACTTCTCCAGACAATTGATTTTGCAGCTGTCAAGCATTTAAACAACCTTCCTATTGGAAGAAACCAGCCTACTTTTTAATCATAGAACCGAAAGGGACAGATAAATAATCTCTATCCCTACACCCTAATCTGAAAGCATGTGAATGTGTGAGGCAGATTCTACTCACTGGCTGCTTATATATACACATGTTGAGGGGGTCCAAACGCAGGAGGGAGACAGATGACTGATGACATTGTGGTCCTGAGGTTGTGAGAGCTAGTGCCAGTGCACCCTGGGGAAATGGCTCCTTTGTCTTGAATTTGATAGAGAATTCTTAGAAAACCAAAACCACAGTCTGTAATAAAATGACAAATTGGCAAACTAAACTTTAGCAAATTAAAACACTTCATACCTCATAAGACTCTGCTAAGAGGATGAAAAGACAAGTCACAAACCAGAACAAAACTTCAAAAGTCTCATACAGATAAAGGATGCATCCCCAAATATGTAAAGAATTCCTCAGCTTTCAATAGCAAAAACTTGTGATTTTTTTAGATAAGCAAAGAATTTGAACTAATATGTGATCAAAGAAGATAATATGGATTTTAAGAAGAACATGAATCTGGGTGTGGTGGCGTACCCCCGTAATCCAAGCTCTTGGGAGGTGGAGGTGGGAGGATTAGGAGTTCAGAGACATCCTCAGTTACATA